CTGGTCAGTGTAGAATGACTAGGTGCTATAGTTTATCACTTGTATCACAAGATTCATTCAACTGAAGGGTGAAATATCTGGTGTACCCATTGTGACTAACAAGAATACCCTCCGCTTCTAATCCCATTAGTCCTGTTACACGATATTAGCGGGAAAGACATTCCTCTGCTGATAAAGCCATCCCACACTCGCTTTCTGTTTTCTGTACATGTCTCCTTTTGACTCTTATTTCCAACTCTCTCATTTTTTTTCTTGTGCATTTTCTATTTTTATTATCTCAACTTTCACCTTCTAGTCTCTTTCTTCCACCTCTCTGGCCTCCAGGTTGCCCTACAAACATGGCCGTATTTGGGTTTGTGGGAAGGGGTAGGAGTTTTTCTGTGTGTCTGTGGGAGGGTGGGGGCCTGAGATTATTGCCATGGCAACTCACAAAAACAATCCAGTAAGGAAAGGCTGGGTGTGTGTTCACACATTTTCAGGCCCGCTTCTGCAATCACAGCAGGAGAAGCTGGAAGGAGCTGGATGGTTAACATACATAATTGATGAGTCACGACTGGACTCGGTCAAAGGACACACGAGCTTATAAAACCTTACAAAACACTGCAGTACATGCCTCATTTTACCAGTACTAGTGCTATGAATTTCTCACTAATTGGCATTATAACTTAATTAGATAGGATGGCTACTTAGTGCAGTGGTTTATATTTGTCTAACAAGAGAAAGAGTCCTGGGACTTGCATCAGGGGTAAAATTCTGCTTTATGTAAACTTAATGATTATTTTGCAAAGGACATTGCTAATACTTTGCCTTATTAACTCTCTCTACTAGTGTTTCCTGTAATAAATGTTTTAGCATTTAAATTATGCTATAATTCTAACTTCTCGTACAGTTTACTTACAAAATAGCCATGCTTTGACTTCGCCGAGACAGTAATATCTGAAGGTCAAGTGAAAATGCTTACTTGAGTGAATTTTCCATGCAAAGTGAAGTGGCCATGATAAAGCTCAGTCGCTACTGTTGATACTTTAATAACCTGAAAAATGCATGGCGAAAGTCTGAAAAAGGAGGCCACCGTAGAACATGTAAGGAGAATATTTTTCAAGTAAATATTTTAGAAATGTTCTTCAGTTATGAAGCAAAGAAATGGTTAAACACTGAATTACACTCGTGCTTTTTTTGCTTTTAAAACGTCTTTCTTGGAACACTGTCGTGATTGGTAGCCTATAAAAATCTCTTCACATAATAGAGAAGGTGGGTTTCCATACCTCTCATTCCTTAAGATAACAGACATACCTTAAGATAACAGACCACTTCCATATCTATGACTGTGAACCCTTCTTATTTTCCACACCTCATTCACAGAGACGACATAGTGGACAAAGCAGCCACTGCACACATCTGGTTTCTCCTGCTTTCACAGTGCTTAGCAGTGACGTAGAAGAAAAAGATGGAGGAGCTGAGGGAACTGGTCCATCTGTTTCTGCTGAAATCCCAGGGTTTTTTTTGAGTGAGAGACAGGATCTGTGGTGGTGATGATGCAGAAGCAAGATGGAGGAACAGAAGGGACGGAGCCCACATCTGTTTCTGCTCAGCAAGCAGCTCAGTTCTGAGGAACAGGGCCTGTAGAGCTGGCTTTACTAGAGAATGGACGCTCTGCTGGCCAAGTAAGCCTGCTGCCTTGCTGGCACTGGGGCAACAGCCACACACACACACACACACACACACACACACA